CAGGGGAGAGAGCAGCCTCGGTGAAGACGAACACGCAGCCCAACTCCTCGTTTTATTGCATCACTTGGTCATGCCAGAAAGCCACCCCAGCTTGAAAAGAGAAGGGGCAGATGCCTCTTCCTCCTCGGTTACAAGCTGCCTGAACAAGGAGCCAGGGCGCGACGCCTCATCCTCTGCCCTCGGGAGTCCAGGAGGTGGAACCTGTTTTCAGAAAGCAAAGCGTCAGGAACGACCACGGCGTACCCTGGCCCGCGAGGAGGTGTAGGCTACAGCCCAACGGCTCCCCCAGGCAACTGGAGCTCGACCCACCGCCTCAGCGGTGCCGCTCCCGAGGTCAGCGCCAGGCAGAGGCAGCTCTGAGCGGCGGACACACAGCTCCTCGTTGCTGTTAGCAACAGGTAACTTCTTAAATGCCATTGTCAATGCTCGACCCCCCCCCAAATCATCCCGAACTGTGGGGGAGGGGCTGTGGCGCTCAGAGCAAGGGGCTAACGGCAGACGGGGAGCTGCTGCCCTTGCAGGGAGCTGTTCTCGAATAACTATGGACTTTAACCTCTCCTGAACTCTTTTAGCATGAAAGGAGCAAGGGATTCTGGGAAGCGTGGCTAGTGCAGAACCCATGTGTGCCAGCGCAGCGGGCGAGGGGAGCGTTGGAGCGAGCCAAGCATCACGGCGCGCTTCCGCGCTCTCCTGCGGCTGAGGTGTAAGAGGTAAGGAATACCGTTACGGGAAGCTCTGGGCTTTTAAACAGCCCTTCGGTGCTGTCTGCTCCTTAATGCTCCTGAATAATTGGGATGGGGCATCAGGAAGGAATTCTTCCCGCAGAGGGTGGGGAGCACAGGGACAGGTTGCCCAGAGAAGCTGTGGATGCCCCATCCCTGGGAGTGTCCAAGGCCAGGCTGGATGAGGCTTGGAGCAACCTGGGCTATGGAAGGTGTCCCTGCCCATGGCAGGGGGTGGCACTGGGGGGGCTTTAAGGTCCCTTCCAACCCAAACCAGTCTGGGGTTCTGTGATACTGGAGAGCAAGAGCTGCAGAGCAGCAGCATCTCAAGTAACAGCTCTGACACACCAGACCTTTACTCTTCTCTCCCAGTCGAGGACATCGCCACAGATGGATTACTGGGTTAGTAAGAGCTAAAGGAAACAGATTACAGCTTCCTGTAGTGCTCAGGTATTCCTTGGCTCTCAATCCTCAGCTCCATCTAAGCAGATGCTTTAAACTGGGGGAAACGGAGCAACACAGTGCCTGTCTACTGACAACGGGACAACACGGAGCTTTTGCACGAGAAGCAAGCCACTCCACACAGGCTTAAATACCCAAGCCAGGCCTCGCCGGGAGTTAAAGGTCAGCTTCACACTGGAAAGGAGTTCAAATAATTAGCTAGTATCCTTCAACGTGTCTTGTGGCCATCTTTAAATTAATTGTCTTTTAGGCATTGACCTCAAAATGCCTCAGCTGTGCAAGTCTTCGCTGCCTTTTCACCGTGGTTGGTTGTTTCACCACAGAGCAGCGAGCCCTGAAAATACAGGGGCCAGCAGGGTGGTGGGTTTTTCTGAGGGACGAGAGGGAATCCAAACCATCCCATGTTGCCCCAAGTTCTCTCATGTTACAGAAAATAAACATCGGGTTAATGTTTAACTCTTTGGCTACTTTCTTCTTCCCCCCTCCCCAACCTCCAGTGGTGGTGGGAGAACGAGCGCTGGCACAAAGTGAACAGGGTTCATTTTACCAACCTGGACTCTCTCTGTGCTCCTGGCAGCAGACTTGCCCTTTCGCGAGCTCGACATGCTCAGCGGCAGAAGCCCGAATCTTAAGAGACGGGAGAAAGAAACGCAGCCGGTCGCAGGGATGCGGGAACTCCGGACCCAGCTTCCCAAAGAGGCAGGAGGACGCTCGCCAGAGCCGCCTACCTTACCTGATCTGGCTGGATGCTAACGGCAAGATGTTGTGGAGCTCCTGGGAGCTGGGAGCGCCGCTCCTGCTCGCGTACTGGTTCTCCGTCCCGGTCAGCAAGCCGAAGAGGACCTAGAAAGTGGGAAGCTGTCTGTATCCAGGGTCAGCTGCAGCCTGCTGGCACGCTACAGTATTTGTCACTGGCTCCAAGTTTGAACACAAAGTGTCTCCCCCGTTAACTTGCTTTTAATTGGTGCTGCTCGTTATCACCACGGTTGAGTTCTAGGCCCGTTTCAGCACTGCTTAACCCAACTAGCGTTTCACAGGCTCCAGTGAATGCTGTTAGATAAATTCAGCCAACTCCACGCACGACGATGTGCCGTGCAGCCAGCTCAGCGTGCTCCTCTTTCCTTCCGCTGGCATTAAACACTCTTCCCACTTCCCAGCAAGTGCCAGTAGCTACCTAAGGCCCTGAGCACTTTGTACAGCCACCCCAGCTGCCCTTCAAACCGCGCTTTGCAGCCCCGCTTCCTGATCCATCCCTTCCTTTTCCTCACACTCACAGAGGTTCGCTGAACCAGGCGATTAAGGCTGCTGTTCAAGTGCGGAGTGAAGACGTCCAAGTCAAACGGATCTATGTGTCCCTCCAGGAAGTCGGTCACCACCTCAATCCTACGAGCAGAGCAGAGGAGTCCCGTGAGGGGTTACCTCCTCGCAGTGCCCAGCAGCGTGGTTTCACTGCTTAACTGTTCTCTCCAGGGGCATCCTCTGGTGACAGGGACCAGCCCGCTGTCTCCGAGCTGCAGAATCCCACCCCGCTTTCTACATTCCTGGGATAAGCTTAGTGTTGGAGAAGACGTCAGAGCTTAGAGTCTGCACCGCCCTTCTCCGGTGAGGCCCAAAGGCACCGCTCCTGCTGGCAGCGGGACAGGCTGTTGGTTTAAACCGCTTCAGGGCCCTGCAAAGCACCGCTGGTATCCGAATCCGGGAACCGTACCTGGAGTCATGCTTGATCCTGCTGGGTTTCGCTTCCTCGCTCTTGGCCGTCAGGATGATGCTCAGGTACCGCAGATCGTAGAGTAACTGCAGAGCTCTGTTCTGGGTCATGGGGAAGGTGCCCGCTCCCTGTGAACAGGACAGTCGGGAATGGGGCTCTGGGGGCTGTCAGGGGACCGCTTCAGGGGAGACAGAACCACCAGCACCGCCAACCAAC